AGAGAGAAAGAGAGAAAGAGAGAAGAGGGAATTCTGGTTCGAACTGAAGGAGTCAACTTGACTTCTCCCAGTCGGCCAGTAAGTATTTATATTATTATTAAAAACATAACTAAAAAGACCTATGTGCCCTTACTTAAGTTAAGAGCACAAGTTTCAACACAACATTACAGATCAGCAACATCAATCAAGGTATAAAGACAGAAATACCCCTACGCTAACATAGATGACATCTGCTCTACTGCATCTCCACATTATCCCCCCACCCCATCCCAATTGAAAATCATTTATTTCCCTTCATTATCCACCATTTTCACCCTAAAGTAATAATTTCCTTCCTGGGTCCTGCCCAGATAAAACCAATTGACACCCTACCTAAGCTCCAATTCAACTTTCTACAATAAGAAATTAATCACAAGAAGTCAGCTCCTTGGGAATTAAATTCTCAAATTGCAGTCTTTCCATTCAGATCTTCCTCTTCTTCATATCAGGAGAACTGTAAATGCATGACATGGCAATGGATGAGCAGGTTTTTACTTTCACTTTTGTCTGTGATTGTTATGTGCTTTAGGAGAACTCACCCCTAAAAGCTAGCTGTTAGAGGGAGGGAACCCAAACACATATATACCCCACAACAGCATCCCATACTACCGATGTGGGATACCTCACATTAGCATCCCATACTACCAACATGGGACAAATGGATCGTAACAGTGATTGAAAGAAAACATGGCCCTTGATACAGCATATTGGTGAAATATGCATTCATGTAACCAACCCAAAATGGTTTGGATTTAAGTCGAAGTGAGTTGAGTAGGGATTCACTCCCTCATATCCGATAGCAGGAAGATGGTTGCAAAGAAAAGGCCACTATCCAAGACATAACATGTCAGGAAGCAATGGTCTTCCTTTCAAGCTGAAATAATTGGCATTCAAGAAAATGTAATATACTTCCAATAAAATTAAAAAAAAAAAAAAATTGCTGCAGAAATTGCTAAAAAGAAACTGATGCAGGCTCCAAGCAATTAGGATCAAATGCATGCACAAGAAACTACGCCATAATTTGAAATACCCCCATGCTTGTGTAACCCATTTCTATCTTTCTTTTTTTTTTTTTTGATCAATAACCCATTTCTATCTATTACCCCCCCCCTGAAAAAAAGAAAAAAAAAGAAAAGAAAAGAAATGGCATGAATTGGAATACCATGTAACAAACAAACGGGGAGAGAAATTCATCCTCATTCATTTGGAAAGGACTACATAATCAGAACACACTAACTACCTGATCATGAATTGACAACACAGTTGAAACAGCAGCTTGAAGATAATCGGAGACAGGTTCCTCAAGATAATGAATTTGTACATTAAACCCTCTACCCTGACAGTCAAAGAAGATTAAGCTAGCCTTGATCAGGGTGCATCCTTTTTGTTGATGACCAAGAAAATGTTGTACAAAAACACTTGAATAACAAATGATGAAATGTCATACTTCTACTGATAGAATGGCAGGGTCGGTTCTTGGCTCCAAATCTTCTCCAGTTTGCCCTTTACGTTTCTTGCTGCTGATAACCAAGAAAGTAATAAGAATAAGAACATAAAAATGTGCATTCACATCATGAAACTGAAGAGATAAATAGGAGGCTTGCTTGGCTTAGCAAATAAACCAACAGAAATGTCCTCCACTTTATGTAATCAGGATATAGAAAGTCCACTAATATTGCTTGTTCCTCGTGATTGTTCTACAGATGTGGAGTTTGTGCCGCTTTGTTCAGGGTGCTTTATCCTAAAGCACATTATGTAGTAGTTTTTTATTGGTAACTGTCAAAATTTTACTGATGTGTGAAAAAAGGAATGAAGTAAAACAAAAAATAATGTCTGCTTAAAACCCCACATAGGTGATTTAGGATAGTCCCCACTGCCTTACTCACTTTCCTTCTTTTATTTACATTAGAATTTCAATCCCCTGAATTTCTGACTCCATATAGTTGGCATAAGGCTTGGATGATGATCATGATCATGATCATGATTATTTTATCAATAACTGAAATAAATTCATTAAATAAAATTTAAAGGAAGAGATAAACTCTCTTAACTCTCCCAAAACAGAATCACATGATTACTATTAGAGTTAGGTCTGCCTGTTTGACTGATAACAGTCAAGGAAAAGAAAGAAGAGAGAAAGAGAGAAAGGAGAAGAGTAGAAGAGAGGACAAGGAGGAAAAGGTCTGGTTCAAATGAGAGAAAAGTCAACCCTCCCATTCGGCCAAATCTGTTTTATATTACTAAAATATTGTGGAAAAGTCACATGTGCCCCTACTTAACTTAGGGACATTAGATCTAACATAAACTTATACATTAGCACCTAACCATAAGCACAAAGACAGAAATACCCCTACATACTCGACATTAACACTCCCCCTCAAGCTGGAGAGTATATATCATATAATCCCAGCTTGTTACATATGTAGTCCACTCTACCCCGACTCAATCCTTAGTAAACAAATCAGTCCACTGGTTCCATGTGTTGACATATGCAGTGTCTATCACTCCACTCAGCACCTTCTCTCTAACAAAG